CGTTGTTCGGTGCGCGAGAGAAGTTTGTCCGCGTCGCGCGAACTCCCCCCTTGGTGTTTGCGTTGGGCTGAGCTTCGAGAAGGATGGTCTCCGGTGTCTCGGCATGGTCAGCGCTCTGGGGGCGAGGTCAAAGGCACGATGGCGGCCCCGCGCATGTGCGTCTGCCGTTTGGGGTGGGCGATGCCCGACTCCACCTCATTCGAAGATGACGTTGGCCGGGGTATACTCTATGACCCTCGCCCCCCCCTTTTGCACGCCTCAAGGTTCTCTGTCGGGGCGCGGCGCTCAAATGCCCCGAGCAGGGACCAGGTGAACGCTGTGGGGCGGGGCGCAGGCTACGCTGGGATGTCGTTGAGCAGCAGCTGGGCCCCTCGACGATCTCGGGGGCAACGAAGGCTTGTGTGCGAGCGCAGGCCAGGAGTGCGATATGGACTGCCACCGATGCTGCTCGTGCTGGTTGCCTCATGTCAGATCAATGTTCCTTGTGCGGGGAGTGCAGGGATGCGCTGCGCCGCCGCTTGCGCGTCTGCTCTGCCGTTGCTTCGGAGAGGAAGGGGCTCGCCCCAGCCTGGATGATTGAGGGGCTTGCGCCGCGCAGAGAGGGGTTATGAGGAGAAGTTGTATTTGTATGGTGGTGTCCAGCATCCTGGCGACACGTTGCCTCTTCCGTTGTCCGATGGTGGTGTCTCCTTGGGGTGGCGGGCTCATGACCTCCCTCCCCATCCTTCCTGCGGGTCTGAGAGGGTGGCCACTGGGGGCTCCACGTGGGGCTGCATTTTTTGCGGGCGGTTCCTGTCGCAGGCGTGTTGTAACGGCGTTGTCTCGGGCTGGCTAGGCTGCGGCTATGATGGGGGGAGATGGTGAGCTTTTGGGGGCTCTCAAAGGCCCGCTGTGGTTTCCGTATCCACAGACGCCGCAGGCTGCGGAAATTGCTGATTTCGCTGAGTCGGGTGCTTTTGCGGGCGCTGCGGCTAGGGGCTTCTCCGACTGTCAAGATGTTCTAGATCGCTTTGCCTTCGGAGAAGATGCCCTCAGTGGGAAGAGACCGTATAGTGGTTTTGCGCTCCAAGGCAAGCTCGAATATGGCCCATGCTGACGTTGCGGCCAAGGAAGGAGCCGCCATGCACCCTGCTGCTACGCCTTCAGAGCTGCAATACTGACTACAATGCTAAAGTGGCGGCGCTGACTCTTAAGGCGGGTGCGGGTTTGCCTCCGGTTTGGCCCAGGTTGGAATTTCGAGGCACCGCCCGTCGTCCTCCCTCTCCTCCCGATTGCCCCCCGTCCTCGACATTGGACATTGGGCAGTACTGGCGCAGAGTTGGAACGTCTTGGCAGTGTCGTGTGTGTCGGAGAGAATTGCGTGTTAGTTCCCCTCCTTTTCGGGAATTGTCCTGGACGCTCGAAGTTGGACCATGATGCCTTGCGAGGTCTTGTTCGGGCAGGGTTGTTTAACTTTTGTGCTTATCCTGTAAGTTCTTCAGTGATGGAACTCACGTTGTGAAGCGAGGCCAGGGGTGTGGCCAACCTTCGGCCACGTTTGGTCGGAACATGGGGAGGCTTAGGCCTGGCCGCTACTCTGGCAACGATCAGGTCCTCGTGGATATCGACGATGTTGTTTCCTTGCTTGACCAGGGTTTCCATGGTGGCGTAAGAGGTAATGTGTCGGGACGCCCCTCGGGAGGCCGAAAAAGGACCGCGCGCCACCATGTGGAGCATTTCGCCCCACAGCCACGGTTCAGTCTCGGTCGTGGCCAGGATTACGAGGCGTTGGCGCTGCTGCCAAGAAAGGGGAGGAATAATAGGAAAACGATGACAAAGGAGGAGGACGAGGAGGAGGGGGACAAGGAAACTGAATAGGAGGAGGAGGAGAAGGAGAAGGAGGACATAAGAGGAGGAGGAGGGGGAGGAGGACAAGTTAGGTGCGCTCGCGTCAACATCTGACATCCAACCCTTCCCTCCCGTCCCTTACTATGGTGCTGATTTTCTCTATCCGCGGACGCGTGTCGTAGCGGACCTGTGGCTCCGCGCGCGTGTGCGTAGTGGGTGGTGGTGCGCGTGCGTGCGTGCGTGTGTACGTGGTTGTGGTTGTTGTGGTGGTGGTCTGTATGTGTGTGTGTGTGTGCGTGTGCGCGTGTGCTGTGGTGTGACGTGGTGTGGCGTCTTGGTGGTTTGGTGGTGGGCCAGGTGCGTACGTGCGTGATGGCGGTGGTGGTGGTGGCGGTGGTGGTGGTGTGTGTGTGTGTGTGTCTGTGTGTGTGTGTAAGTGTGTAAGTGTGTAAGTGTGTAAGTGTGTAAGTGTGTGTGTAAGTGTGTGTGTGTAAGTGTGTGTGTGTGTGTGTGTGTGTGTGTGCGTGAGTGTGTGTGTGTGTGTGTGAGTGTGTGTGTGTGTGTGTGTGTGTGTGTTTGTGTGTGCGTGCGTGCGTGCGTGCGTGTGTGCATGCGTGCGTGTGTGTCTGTGTGTGTGCGCGCGTGTGATGTGGAGTGACGCGGTGTAGCGTGGTGGTGGTGGGTGGGGTAGTGCGGTGGTGGTGGCGGTGCGCGGTGGTGGTGCGCGTGCGTGCGTGCGTGCGTGCGTGCGTTGGTGGGTGGAAGTGGCGGTGAGTGTGCGTGCGGCGGGGCGGGGCGTGGTGCGGCACGGTGGTGGCGGGCGGATGGGCGCGCGAGAAAGAGGCCCGCGCCTGGGCGAGAACGCCATCCTGAACGACGGAGGCAAAACACCGATCCGAAAATGAGGCCCACGCTGCAGCGGGAACACGATCCGGAACGATTCGGGAACAGAAATGAGGCCGGCGCTTCAGCGATATCAGCATTTTTTTTTTTTTTATATATATATATATATAAAAAACGCAGGCGAAAACCCAACTCCGGGGAATCGTGATCTTAAAAATACAGTACGCGGGGGGGGAGGGGGGGGCGAATACGCAAAAGACGTCATCAGGGGAAGAGGAGAGTAGTATTCATATTGAGTAATTTTGGAGGGGGAGGAGGATTGGAGGAGGGAGGAGGAGGAGGAGGAGGGGAGGAGGAGGAGGAGGAGGAGGAGGAGGAGGAGGAGGAGGAGGAGGAGGGGGAGGAGGAACACGAGGAGGAGGAGGAGGAGGAGGAGGAGGAGGAGGAAGGAAAAGAAAAGGTCATGTCCCCCCTTTCTCGCTGCCTCCATCGCCGCCGCGCCGCCGTTAGCGGGCAAGGGGGCGAGAACCTGCCCCCGCCTCACGGGCGCTTCTCCGCCGTTCCATCCCTACCGTTGCAGCGGGCGCCGGCCCTCCATCGGCCTGCGATGAGGGAGTTTTCGTTGCCCTTCAAGCCCGAGGACAGTGGTCATCAGTTGTCGTCAGTCTCACATGCAGGGCTCCCTCTCCGTAGGAGGGGGATGTTCGACAGTGGTTGACAGGTGATCTCCCCTTCCTCCTTGAGGAGGAATGTGGGGACAGATAGAGAGATGAAGAGAGAGAGAGAGAAATAATGAAAAAAGGAGATCGACGAGGATACGTATGGTGGAGTATGATTGAGGAGGTGGAGGCGGAGGAGGAAGAGGAGGAGGAGGATGAGGGAGGAACCGGAAGGATGAAGTGGTGGAGGGGGAGAGACATAGAGAGAGCGAAAGACAGAAAGAGTGTGCAGGAACACGGAGGGGGAGGAGGACCATAGTAAGCCTACGATGCAACATTTATGTTGCAACAGGCCTTCCCGTTCTTTCGTGATGGTTTCATCACACATGTCAGCTAATTTCCAGCGAGATACTCGTTTGGAAGAAGAGGCGCTCCACATGTTTGAACATGTTGTTGCGCACGTTTACACTTCTGGTCATGGGTTTCGAGGGAATTTCAAGCGAGAGCCCTATTTTGAATTTGAATCTCCCTCCATTCGTGCAGCTGCTGCATGTGTTAAGGTATCGGGGCTTTCAAGTAAAAGGAAGTATCAAGCGCGAGCCTCCTTTGGAGAAGGAGCCGCCCTCCATCCCAATAGCTACTGCACGCTTTTTAAGTCGAATGTCCGCCGCGCCAGGGCGAACACTCCATGTCGAAAGCCACCCCACCACCCTTGTAGCCGTTGCAAGCCGTTAGGGCGACTGCGCGGCGCTACGGGGAGAGCCCCATGTTGAAAGCCACTATATGTGTTCCTTCCTTGTAAGTGCTGCAAACCTGTAAGACGAGTGTGCACGGCGCTGGGGCGAGAACCTCATTCTGAGAACGATCCCCGTCCATCCATGCAGCTAACGCGCACTTCAAGCTTCATCATCTTAAGCTGTTCTGGAGTTTCAGGCTAAACGCCTGACCCGCCCTACCGACACTTTTGGGAGTGCGAGAGGGAGGATTTGTCTACAAGGAACAGGGATGGAGGAGGAGGTCCAGTGCCCAAGAGGGAGTGGTGGGGGGAGAGCGGGTCCTGGGCGAGACGTGTGGCGCGGGAGAAGAAATACACCATTATTCTTCCCTCGCTCTCCGTCTCCCCCCCCTCCCTGATGAACCAGAAAAGAGTTGGGTCTCACCGCCCCCTTGTCTTTCCGAGCACCGACAACGTCCTAAGGCGTTCTCGGTTTGATTCCGCACCGTCTTTTCTGAGTACGCGCCTGAGTCTCAATTGGCCTCACTGTGTCCTCACAAGTGCCCCACGTGTGGCCCCACAGTGCCCTCACTTGTGCCGCCACATGTGCCCCCACAGTGCGATCACTTGCGCCCCCACAAGTGGCCCCACAGTGCCCTCACGGTGGCCCCGCGAAAAAGGCACTTGCGCCCCAAACAGGACCCCACAGCGCCTTCACGCGTGCCCTCACAAGTGGTCCCGCAGTGCTGTCGCTAGTCCGACAGGAAGTGGAGCGGGAACAGCACGTGGCCAGTCATGCCATGTCCGTACCGTCCTTCCATGGGTTTGTCCTGTTATGTTGGGCATGCCCGGTCTTTTCGGAGCTCGCTGTCGTCACCCATGGACCCTGGAATCTCCTTCCCCTCCCCCCCTCCTCTATCATCCCTCCCCTCTCACCCCTTCTTCTGTGGCCCGAGGAGTTGCTCGCCCAGCCAAGCGACGACCGGCTGTGGGCGGCAGGCGATCAGTACTGCTTCTGCGGCGGTAGCGGCGCCAGCGGCAGCAGTGTTCGAAGAACGGAGAGGGGGATGAAGGATAGGAGGCAGATGAGGAGGAAGAGGACGAGGAGGTGGACCAGAGCAAGCCCGTCCCAAGTCCCCTCCTCGTACGTCCCTGCAAGCCTTTCTTCTAACTTCAAGTGCCCTTGAAAGACCAGCACCCTATGGGCCTGCCATTCAGGCGAGAGCCCCGTATTGAAAATGAGCTGCCTCGCATTCCTCTGGCGAGCAGTAGGGATTGCGGCACGGCACGATCACACAGCTCAGTTTTGTGACTGGGGAGATCGTCGTGTTTGAAAGACACAGGTTTAACCGTTGCACACGTTTACATGTCTGGCCATGCGATTCGAGAAGGTCCCAAGACACAGTGCAGGTTTTTGCGGGAGCCGGCCTCCATCCGTGCAGCGATGTGTTCAAGCTTATGGTGGAAGATTTGAGGATGCCTTAGGCGCGAGCCCCATTTTGAAAAAGGTGCCGTCTTCCACCGCTGTGACTGTTGTATACCAATGCGAAAAGAGAGGGCGGCACTAACGCGAGAGCCATACTGAACGCCGCCTGTGCTCCATTCGTGTAACGGTTGCAAGCTTTTGTGGTATTGTACGAAATCTCTGCGGGACGTTGAGGCGATAACGAACACGTCGAGGACCATTTGTGTTCCATTATTGTAGCACTTGCAAACCTCTTTTCGGACGACTGTGCGCGGTGTTGAAGCGAGAGCCAGACTCTCAAAACCACTTGCGCTCCATCTTTGTACGTGCTGTATCAAAGAGCGAGTATGTTCGGCTTTCAGGCGGGAGCAGCATGATGAAGACCGCTTGCACTCCATTTCTGTAACCGCTGCAAGGTGATGAGGCGAATGTGCGCGCCCCCTGCCATTCGGAAGCGGCGATGTGGTCAACAGTTGGGCCGTGTTCTTGCCAAACTGTTGCGCTACGTGCTCCGGTAGCCGTTGTGGACCCCTTTTGGGGAACACCTGGGAGAGCACGAACAACAAGGAGAGAGATGAGATGGAGGACGAGGCGGAGAAGGAGGAGGAAGAGGAGGAAGTCAGAGGAAGCCTCTTGAGGTCCTCTTGCCTAGCCTCTGAGTGGTACCTTCGGAGCCTCCTTGGGCCTCTTGGAGGCCTCTTGGGGGCCTGTTGGGGGCCTCTGGGGGCATCTAATGGGCCTCTTGGCCTTCGGAGGCCGTCTTGGGGGCCTCTCTTGGCAGTCGTAGGTTTTTCTTTGGACTCTTCAGGGCCGTCTTGGAGGTCTGTGGTGCCGTCTTGGGGGCCTCTTGGACCGTCTTGGGCCGTTTTGGGCCGTCTGGGAGCGATCGTGGGGGTCTATGGGGCCGTCTTGGAGCGTCGGAAGCCTGAACGCTGAAACCATTGCAACACTTAAGGAAGATTTATGAGTTTGGCCTCCTGGGGGTCGTCTTGGAGCGCTCTTAGGCGTCTTTGGGGCCCATTGTGCCGTCTGGAGGGCATCTTGGGCCGTGTTGAGTCCATCTCGGAAACGTCGTGGGGCCGTCTTGGCGGCCATGAAGACAGCACCTCCATTTTGTGAGGACGTCCCAGGCGAAATATTCGTGTTCGGCCATGGGACAGGTTCGCCCGTGTGGCCAGCGGGTTGGGCCGGAGGCCACTGGGCACCCTTAGCAAACAGTTCAAGACATTGGAAATCTTAGCACGCCAAGCACCCCTGTGTGAAATACAGGGAGCGGCGAATCTAGTGGCCTTCGGCCCACCTCGCCACCGTGCTTGGGTTGTATGGTTGAGACTTCTTGGATGCCCGTTGGGATCTCTTGGGGAAACTCTCGGAAGCATCCGGGAGGCAGTTTTGGGGTGTCGAGGGGTTTCTCGGGGTTATCTCAGGTGCTTCTCAAAACAGAAACTTATATTATTTCGGCTCTGGAGGGGGGCGCTTTTGGGCAGCCTTTGTGGGGTGGGTTGGTGGCCCCAGGAACTCGAAGTTATGATAATTTACAGGGATTGTGTCCTCGGGAGTGTGAGAAGGATCGAGCGCGTGGGGGATGTCATTTACGAGTGATTGTGGCCTCGGGAGTGTGAGCGTGGTATGCTTTACTGGGGATGTGGCTTCCAAGACGTAAACTTGTTGTACTTGAGGTGTTGGCGTCGAGGGCGCGACTTTGTCGTACTTTAGAAGGGTTATTGGCTGTGGGAGCGCGATCACGATGTGGTCTAGGAATTGTGGCCTCTAACGCGGAAGCTTGTTTTGCTTTGCGATGGATCGTGGCTACGGGAAGACGAGCGCGTCCCAATGTGCGCGCGATTGTGACCTCGGGGGCGCGAACCCGTAGTAATTTAGATTGTGCATCGACAACATGTTGCACCGCTTTTGCCGCGCATAGGCACCCAGCTTGCATTGCTCCTCTCTTCCCTTTCCCCCCGGTCTCAATAATGAGAGCACGGCGAGGAGCCTTGGGGTCCCCCCCTCGGGCTCCCGACATAATGTTGCACTACCGAGCTGTTTCGTTTCGCCCAGACCGAACCCAATATCAAGATTGGGGGGAGGGGTGCGGGCGAAAAGCAGATGCATGCCAAATAGAAAAACGATGCGCGTTACTATCCGCGCCAGTTGGTGCATCATTGTGTCGACGTACCGAGTGGGATTGTGGCCTCGTGAGCGCGAGCGCGTCGTACTTTTACGAGGGGCTGTGGCCCTGGGAGCGCATCTGGTGTAAGTTATGCGGCATTGCCTCAGAAGTCCGAACCTACAGTATTTGACGTGTCCCAGGTCCCCACGATAAGTCAGACAGAATGATTGTGGGGTGGCTCGGGGTGGTTTTCGGGCTCCTCCCCTCGCGCGGACTTCAATCATGACAACTTTGGAACTAGAGCATCGACACTCTAAAACCATAACAATGAGATCTGGACCTGTCGCACAAAACAGGAAAACCTCGGCCTCGCAGCCTCTTGGCTCCGAAGGGGCCAGCGGTTACCTTCGGTCCGATGCGGCCCGATGCTCGCACGTCGCTGTTGTGCGGCTTGGCGCGGCCGGTTCGATTCGATTTCGACTCCGTTCCGGCGCAGCCAGCCCGATCCGACGTATGTCCCGATCCGATCCGCTTCCTCGGATTCGATGCGCACTGATCCTGTCGCTGGGGCCCCCCTGGGCCTCGTGTGCGGGGGTGCTCTGGGGGCCATCCGGGCGACGCGGGGGCCTCGCAACGCCGTTCGGGGGTCCAGGATCGAGGATCCAGTACCGAGGATTCAGGATCGAGGATCCAGGATGAGAGGCCGCCTTCTTTGGGTCAGGGGCTACATATCTGGCAGTACACGAAAGCGATTTCGCCCTCAGACTTGCCGCCCGTGGACGACCTGTCGGCCGGGGAGGTGGGCGCCGCCCTGGACAGCCTGATCGGGAAGGTCCTGTCCTCTCAGGGGTACGCGCTCGCCGAGGACAGGAGGCGGAGAAGGCAGAGGAGGAGGGGAGGAGGAGGGGGATGAGGTGGAGGAGGAGGTCGAGGAGGAGGATGAGGATGAGGATGAGAATGAGGATGAGGAGGAAGAGGAGCAGGACGAGGAGCTGGAGGAGGAGTTGGAGGAGGAGGAGGAGGAGGAGGTACAGGTGCTGGGGTAGCAGGAGGTAGGTGGGAGGAGGGCAGAGGGAGGAGGGAGGCCTCTGCCGCGGGCCCCGAGCCCCAGGCATCGAGGGAGCCCTCGTCGCATCGTCGTCGTCGTCGTCGTCGTTGTTCTTCCCTTGTAATTTTGGTCCCAATCCTGCTGGGCGCCCAAGCTGAATGCAAGGAAGTGTTGCAAGTGATTTTGACCCTGAGCGTTGAGCCATTGCGAAACACTGACCAGGGATCATAGACACGAAGGCACGGATTCACTGTACACACGAGAGTTCGTAGCCCTGGGGGCACGGAAGGATTGTAATCTATGAGGGGTTGTGGTTTTGGGAGTGCGGATATGAAAAGGGATCGTGGATCCAGCGCAATTTGCAAGGGATGGTGGCTGTGGCCGCACGGATCGAGTGTAATCAGTGTAATTTGTAAAAGGATAGTGGCAATTGGGGCGCGAACCCAGCGTACATTAATAGCCATCATGACCATGGAGTCGTGTATCCACGGGAATCTAGAAGGGATCGTGGCCACGGGAGGATGGATTCAGCAACTTTGCGAGGGATCGCGGCCACCGAGGCAACGATCCAGTGTAATTTGCGACGGGTCGTTACCCCAGGATTGCGGACCCAATGTAATTTACAAGGGATTGTTGTCTTGGGAGCACAGGTCCGTCGTATTATATGAAGGGGTCGTGGCCAAGCGAGCACGGACCCAGCGTATTCGCAAATTTCTGGGAACCGTGGCCTGGGGAGCGCCGAGCTGGTGTAATTTACGAGAGATCGTGTCCACGGGAACACGGGCCTAGTGTAATTTATTAGGGGCCGTAGCTCCAGGAGCGCAGATCCAGAGCAATTTGAAGGGGACGGTGGCCATGGGACTGCGGACCAAGAGCGAGTTACGATAGATTATGGCTTCGTGAACGTGTGCTTTACAGTGCAAGTTCACTGACCAAGCAAGGTGTTGTAGTTGCCCGGGGCCAGGAAGGCCTGGGGTCTGGGGTCCCATGGAGAGGATTGCAGAAGAGTGAGCTTGCTTGTCGAGGAAAGGGTAGGAGTGTGCAGAAGGAATGGAGGAACAGCAGGAGCAGGAACCTCAGAAGCAGGAGCAGCATTGCATAGAGAGCGGAATCAAAAGAGGGACGAGGATGGGCGTGGAATGGGCAGAAGGGGAGCAGCAGCAGCAGCAGCAGCAGGAGATGCAGGAGGGAGTAATCAGGAGTGGAAGTGAAATGCTGAAGAGTGGGGTGGATTGTGGTAGAAAGGTTAAGCGTGGGCAGGACTGAGAGGGGGGATGCTGGGGCGCAGTGCAGATGCCGCCGGAGCAGTATGCAAGAGTGGGGAGGAGTGAGGCGGAGTGTACAGTGGTGCGCCTGGGAATGGGAAGGTCCAGACTGGAGTCGAGTTGAAGTGTAGCGAAGGGGCACATGGAATGGAGGTCTGGGCTGCAGCGGTGATGGCGAGAGAGTGCGGCGCACAGCAGAACACAAAGGTGGAACGGGGGGCGGGGCGTCGTCATCCTCCCATGCCTGCTCATGCATTTTTTCGCCAAGTCGGCGACGATGGCGTCGCAGGTGTCAAACACCTCCTCCATAATAAAAAGAGGCGGCTTTTCCTTTTTTCTTTGCGGGACAACCACCTGGGACACGGCCGCATAGAGAGGGGATGGTTTTGCGACCAAAAGGTTCACGGTCGCGCCATTGGTAAACGCAGGGGCAGCGCTAACAGCATCATGGCGAATGTGTTGAAGCCTTGACACGTGGTCGTGACGAGAAGGAGGAAAGAGTCCTACACCTTGTGGGGAAGGTGCTGTTTAGCGTCGAAGTTGTTGTCCGCGCAGCTTGTGCGGTTTTCATGAGGCGCCGCACGTCGGCGTCAGGCAATTCGCACGCAGGCGTGCGTGACATCGCCTGTGCGGAATAGGATTATAGCAGGCCTGAGATGTATCGATCTTATAAAACGGTGGCGGGGAAACGAACGACACTTTCCCTTCGACACCCTCAGCACCCTTCCTCTTTCGTCCCTTTCCTCCCCATCATTTCCTTCCTTATCCTGTTTCCCTTCCTGTTCCCCCTCTTGCTGCCGCTGCCACGTCTTCTCTTGCTTCTCCTGTTTTGTCGCTCCCCCGCTCGTCGCCACCTCTCTGAGAGAGGGTTGAGCGGGGTGAGAGAGGTGACCAGAATTGTAAGATTGTCTTCGTGATGACGATGACTTTCATCATGCTGGCAACGATGACGGTGATCCGTGATTCTGTGCATAACGATGATGGTGATTCTGATGGCCACGATGACTCGAAAATGAGCGTAGTCGAAGCGCAATCCGCCACTGTGCCCTCAGGCACGTTGGGGCGTGCTAGAATGCCAAGAGCTGTTTGTTAGGGCTTCTGTAGTCCTCTGGAGCCCCCCCTCCCCCCACCACCAGCGCTGGCCTGCATGCATCGCCCCCTCCCGATGCCACAATTCCGCGTAAAACACGGCAGACTCTTGCTCCCGAGGCTCGGGCGGCGCCAAGGCGGCCTCCAGGCACCCACCACACAGCACAGAGGTCCCCCAAACGGCCCGCAAGAACCTGAAGTCGGCCTAAGAGGACCCCCAAATTGCCCAAGAGAGCCCTCAAGGGCCCCCGAGACTGTCTCAAAGGAGTCCAAGAAGACAGCCACACGTCGGCCCAACCGAGTTCCATGAGGGCTCCCCAACTGGTGACAGCCAAAGGTGTCACATGCGACAGCAGTACTCTTTCTCCCTTTCCTCCTGCTGCCCCTCCTCGTCCCTATCATCACCACCATCATCATCATCATCATCATCATCATCATCATCATCATCATCATCATCATCATCATAATCATCATCATAATCATCATCATCATCATCATGATCATAATCATGATCATCACCACCAGCATCACCGTCATCATCGTCTTCATCACCACAACTACCGACAACGCCATCATCATCATCATCGTCATCATCATCATCATCATCATCGTCATCGTCATCGTCATTGTCATCGTCGTCATCATCATCGTTGCTGTCGTTGTCATCATCATCATCACCACCGCCATCAGCATCATCATCATCATCATCACCATCGCCATCGCTATCACCATCATCCTCATGCTCATCCTCATCGTCATCATCATCACCATCATTATGATCATCATCACCGTCACCATCATCACCACCATCATCATCAGCATCACGATCGTCCTTCTTATCATCATCATCATCTTACATATCAACGTCAGTATCCTCATCACTACGGTAATCATCATTATCGTTATCATCATCATTATCATCGTCATACCCACCATCAGCATCATCGTCATCATCGTCACCATCACCACAACCACCGGCAACGTCATCATCATCATCATCATCATCATCATAATCATCATCATCATCATTACATCATCATCATCATCCTCATCCTCATCCTCATCCTCATCATCATCATCATCATCATCATCCTCATCCTCATCCTCATCCTCATCCTCATCCTCATCATCATCGACCCTTTTTGGGAATTCCAGTGGTGCTTCGATCGCGCGGGCTCCAGGGGGCGGGCGCCGTTTCGACGTGACGGTTTTCGTTGCCGATCCGAGTTGTTGTCTCCCTCTCCCCCTCCGCCCCTCTTCCCTCCCTCCCTCCCTCCCCATGGCCAGGGAATTGGCGATCTTCGCCAGATGCATGTGCGTGCGACGCACGCCGGCCGGTCTGCGACCGTAGACGGTCGACCTTACCCCTCTGCCGTCTCCTAGCCTGCGTGCCCACCGCGCGAAGAGGTGCTGGGACGGGGCGGCACCTTCTCCGCTTTCTTTTGACACGCATGCTTGCGAGTGACTACACCCAACGTGCTGATTCGCAGGCATTGTCGTTGTCTGTGGTACTGTGTCGTTGCGCTGCCGGCTCGAATTTTGAGTGTATTTCGTCGTGCAGCGTTGAGTTTTTCTGTTGTGGCCGAGTAGGCCCCAGGGGGCACAAAGCTCTCGACTGGGCGGATGCATTGCAGTATTTTATTGTCGGGGTCATGGAGTGGACGCGGAAATCTGAAGTCCAGCTTTCTGGGCAACGGATCCGTACATTTGAGGCGGAGCTCCCCTAAACAGCTGGCTGTCCCCTCTTCTGGCCCCTCTGCCTCCCCCTCGCGTGTGTCCGTGCCTCCCCGCCTGTTCTCCCCTCTTCCTGCTGTTTGGGTCTTTCTGTTTTTTCTCATTGGCACGGTGGCCGCCTGACCACCATATCCAGACTTGTTTTGTACAGTTCGAGGTCGTTCTCGACCACTTCGCAGGCGCTCGCATGGTGGAGTCCCCTTCCCATCAGTTTGGGGGCTGGCAGTTCTCATTATCTGGTGTTTTCTGGAAATCCTCATCACATCATCATCATCATCATCATCATCATCATCATCATCATCATCATCATCATCATCATCATCATCATCATCATCATCATCATCATCATCATCATCATCATCATCATCTCATCATCATCATCAGCATCATCATCAGCAGCATCATCATAATCATCAGCATTGTCAGCATTAGCATCGTCATCAGCAGCATCATCATCATCATCCTCATCCTTATCATCATCGTCACCATCAGCATTATCACCATCATCATCCTCACTATTACTACCACCTTCATAATCGTCGTCCTCATCATCATGAACCGGGTCCCGAAGGATCTAGGGCCCAGATTCCTGGCGTCCGAAAACCGGGGCCCAAGGCGCGGGGCCCGGGGCCCAGTGTCCAGGGCCCGGGCCCGGGGCCTGGGGGCCCCTGGACGTTTCTTCCACAGTTCACTGACCAGGTGTAATTTATGATTGATCGTTGCCCTGGAGTTTCCGATCCACCGTCGTCTGTAAGGCATCGTTGCCTTGAGAGCAATGGGCCAGAGTAAGTCACGATGGATCAGTACCCTGGGATCGTTGCCCTGGTAGCGCGGTTCCAGCGTATGACGGGAAGCGCGAAGTGATGTTCGTTTTAGAGTGAAGTTCAAAGGGGGAGTTTGAGAAGAAGGGGCGTTCTGGTTGCCGAACGGACACTATTTGGGTGTATTTGCACGGCTGGCGATTTGCGTGAGGCATCATCTCAACACGGAGACCCGCCGTAGTAAATTCCATCAGGTTAGTTTAATATTTAAACCGCAACGTGGATTTTTTCAGCGCTTTCTCATTTTGGCTCTTGACAGGCTGAGAGCCCCAAAACAACCCTACGTGTTTTGGCGTTATCAGGGTCGGTTTTTCAAGTGTTTCCAAGCCGGTCGCTGTGGACCGTTGCTTGTGTTCACGTTGAAGGATTATTTTTGTCTTCCCCGCCGTCTTCGCTCCCGCTTTCCCGATCTCGTCGTAACGTCCGTAGAGAATAAGTAAACAACGCTCTGACACTGGTCTGTCACAGATGCGAAAGAGGCCTGGGAGCTCACGACCCGTCCCCAGCTGGCTCCCACGATGAAAAACAATAGACCCGAAAGCACAACACATAAACTAATTAGTTTAGCGTTTTCAGTCTGTTGGTTGGGACCTGAACGCGCTACAACAATGAGTGCATATTCAAGATGAGCGAAGTCCTCAGGGCACGATGCGGCACCGTCATGTTAAACATGGCCATCTGAGCAACTGTGATAGCGGCCCTGTCGTGTTACATGATGACCTTGGGACATCATTCAACGCAGCCTGTCGGTTTCTTTTGTGTCTTCTGTTCCAAGGTAGTCAAGATATGGTGTCATCAGGCCTCCAGTACGGCTTACGCAGCCTCGACGGTGCGCGAGAGCCCCGAAACAGTTCAGAAGGAACCGAGGTCGCGCAACAGCCCCCTACGAGGCTTGAAGAAGCGCACGGCATGCCTCAGGAGATGCCAGAATAGGCGCAGAGGACACCACAGCGGCAACAGTCACCAGCACACAGCAGCAAGCAACGACAATTCGAGATACGCAGCCGCTGAGAAGAACGACTTGCAGTCACAGCCTCAATTGGCTGTGATAGCGCGATATATGCCGTCTACGACACGAAGTGGACTTAATTCAGCCAGACGCCGCAGCTTTCGGAATTCCCGCCACGGGAAACAGGATTCTTAAACAATGGAGTTGCTTCGACATGTCGAGAAATGCCCCCACGAGACTAGACAAACTCAACTCAGTTGGATATGCCAGCGTGTCACAGGCCCACCACGAACGAACGCAAACAAGCATTGCACAGAGTGTGGGACAGCGTGAGAAAGGCCCCACACGATCAAGTCGCTGTGGCAGTGCGAGACACGCCCGCGATACACATAAGCACCCACATGAATTGGCTATGCCAACGTTAGCAATGCCCGCAGTTTGCAACATGTCAACCACGACGTGACATGCCGCAGCGTAATCATCTGCTCACGTTTATCGGGTGTGACCGCGTGGCAAAAGCCGTCACAAAAACACGTCGACGTGAATGCAGTGGTTGGGACATCGCAAGCTTCCGCACCGCGACACATGTAACCTCAAATCGCGTGATTGCAACAGGCTGAGACACGCCCGCCACTAAATCATGCGAGCTCAGACCAGCTGTACATGACAACGCTGAGCATGCTCACTCCAAGCTTATCAAGCGGCTGTGGCAGCGCGAGGAATATGCTCAGCGAGCACACGTAACCTTCCACCCATGGGCCGCGACGGGACGAGACACGCCCGGCACCAACACAAGCAAGTTCACATACACCAGCGGTGATACGGTGGATGTCGCCAAGGAGTAAGTAAATTTACATCACGGGTGTGACATCGTTGGGAAGCGTTCGCCACGAAACAAGTAATTTGACAGTTGTTGCGAGGAATTGCAACATGGTGAACCATGCCCACCACAGACATCAATCCATTCAAACCAGTTATCC